GAACAGCTGCTCATACTCCTTGTGGATGAGTAACAATGTCGCATGACACCCCTTGACAGCCAAGGCGAACACGTCCTCCAGAGCGAGTCGATCAATAACGTTGGGATCTCGTCGGACCACATCCTCGACTTGACTGAGCGCGTACTGAACCGCGTAAATCTCCTCGGCGATATCGCAAACATTCTGTGGCGCATTATCCAAGTGATCCAAGGTGTTTTTGATCTTCAGCGACGCGGTCAAGACGGCGCCCGCCAGTGACGCTGCCGCAGTGATAATCGTAATCGGATCCATTCTCGCGATGTATCTCAACACTGAAGTTCATTCAAAGAGCAGGTTTGTTCGGGACAGACTTACTCGATCTGGGCTGTTCGACTCGTGTTTCGACGGGCCGTGCGACAACATCGGCCGGGAGGTTTGAAACATGACTATTCTGTGCCGAGGTTCATCTGCCAGCTTGACCTGAGTTTCATCGTGCATGCGAGCTGCATGCGACCGGCTTTCTTTGAAAACGCCGAAGATCGAGAGCATGTGAGTCGAATATCGTCGTTCAGATCCGCACGTTGTAGTATCGCGGCGAGCCAGTAACTCCGCACTGAGTTACAATATCCATCTCTAAGCACTCATGTTAAGCTTCCCACGTCAGAGCTTGCTATGCCAGGTCTGTGAACAACATCTACTAGCCTTTTGAGACCTAGAAGGAATCAACGGGGCGCCAGGCCCTAATTGATCAATCTCAAACCTCTTCATCTCAATAAAAGTAGTATATTTCTGCCCTCTTCGTCCCGTGCGATGTCGTTTGTCTCTGATCTGCCCATCCCACCGGGCACGGGTTAAGTCTGTCTTGGGACCGTGGCTTGCACTGGTTTTCAAGTTGGGTTAAAAGAGTAATTAGCCCAAATTGGTGCCAGGACCCTGCTCTTCACTCCCGGCCGTTCCTCGGCGACGTTGAAGCAGTCAGGCAGTCTGATAAACGCCGCGCAGGCTACGTATTTGTCGGAAGATGCCGAGTGAAAGGAATCCATACCAAGACGATGTCATGCCTTTAAGGAAGTTCGGTACCGCATTCGATTTCTTTCCCCTCTCGTTCATTTTAGTAAGCCGGGAGCGCCAGCTGCCAATGCGCTCCTGGCTGCCCCGGACCGTGGTACCCGAGAATCTCGCAACATCCGTGGCACGGAAGAGATCTTGGTGCCGGAACTTGGCAATGCAACTTTTCAAAGGCCAGTTTATCAGGATGAACAGCACATGACTTGCTCGGAAGTATCGCACCTGTCTCTGCCTGTCGGATTGCTTCGGCTCCGTCGTTGAATTGAAAACATCAAGTCTATCAGCGTGGGCCTCTAGGTTGAACTGTGAGACTCCTAGTTTTCGCTAAGTCCTATGATTCGCTGGGCTGATTCGGGCCTCGAGCCGGGCTGGAAGGTCAACCTGGACAAAAAAAGAGGACGGGCCAGTTCCCCGCATCTCCCCGATAACGAAAAGCTGCGACGAAGCCAGGGCCAGAAAGGCCTGAGCGATTGATCGCCCTACGAGCGTGTTGGCTTGCTAGTCAGGCTGAAGTCTAATACTACGAGCTGAAGCCAGCAGAAGCAGCTGTTGAATCCGAGCCGCTCGGGTAGCTGGGGGCTCCGCGGAGGTTCTCTCAGCAATCTAAACCACGTGTGTCCATGTCGTCTGCAACCGCCAACGCGGTCAATGCTTGTAGGTGAGATGGTATGAAACACATGCGATCCGCCATTTAACTAGGACATATTTCGCCATTAGCAACCTTGATCGCCCGAAGCATACGAGGTGACGAACTAGAAAGCGGAAAGCCACGCGACTTTGACTTCAGTCGCGAAGCAACTGGTGTTAGAGTTTTGCCGGCACGACCTTCTACTCATTGGTTCACGATCAACAGAGTTTTGGTTTTCCCCTCTGTATGCGCCTATGTAGGCTCGAAAGAGATCAATTCTGTCGATCTCGCTGGCAGAATTCACCCCGCGGGCATTAAACGGCTCTGCGAAAGGCATGGGCCAAGGATCGAGTAAGCTTTGTGGAATGCCTAAAGAAGGGCAAACCCGAACGACATTCACGTCCTTGAAGGCAGAATATGTACAACATGTAGCCCATAGTTGATTATATCTTCCATGACGGTCCTATCCTTACGCGCGTCGCTTCACATGCTTCAATGTCAGCTCAATCATGTCCACTGCGGCGCAATTGCGCGGGACACTGGCACCCCTTCCGGAGAACCATCGCAGTGGACTCATCATTTTGACTGCAGTTTCATTCCTTTCGTTCCTATCAACGTTGATTCTTTGGCTCTTCATTTCGTATAAGCTCTTGAAGGAGCGGCTGACCCAAAAGAAGCAGCCCGACGACGCACGGCCAAATGTCGTCATTGGCGGAGTTCCGGACCTCACTCTCGGGCTTGATGCGCCCGCATCTGGGGCGCAAGGCTTCGCTCGGCTTCAAGAACTCGACAGATTAGCCGCCGAAGAAGAACAACGAAATGCCGAGGCGGAACGAAGACGGGTCGAGGAGGCGGTGCAGGCCCGGAACCCGTTTCCTATCCTTGTCTACAATCTGCTGATCGCGGACATGATGGAAGCGTTGGCATACGGGCTAAGCTTCTACTGGGTTTACGCGGACGGAATATTTGCCCCGTCATCGGTTTGCTGGGCTCAAGGCTGGTTGGGTTCCACGAGTAATTTGGCCGCAAGTTTGTTCCTCTCGCTCATCTCGGTCAATACGTTTTTGACTGTCGGTCTGGGATACAAGGTACCGCCATGGGCGGTATACACTGCGATCGCTGTTCTCTGGACTTTCGATTTTGTAGTCAATGGCGCTGGAGTCGGAATCACGGCACAAACTGCGCCGCCTGGAGAGTCCTTCTTCATGAGAGCGAATGTGTGGTAAGACACAGCTTTGAGTTGCTAATGTGATTCCATGTCAGCTAACACACGGCGACCAGGTGTTGGATCTCCACGGCATACGACCCTTGGCGCCTATGGGCTCACTACTTTTGGGTCATCGTATCCATCGTTCTCACGATATTCTTGTATTCTTTTGTTTTCTTCACATTGTGGCGCCAGAAGCGGAGTTGCCGGCACTTGCCAGAAAAGCGCAACAACCAAGAAACGGGACAGCGACAACTCTCCGGCTACCATCCGGCATTCTTGCTATACCCGTTCGTTTACATCGGCTGTAGCGTTCCATTGGTCGTCGGCCGAATCACGTCTCTATTAGGGATCGACCTTGGTATACCATACTTCGCATTCGCTGGCTGCGTCCTGGCCGCGAACGGCCTCTTCAACTGCATCTTATGGACGACAACGATCATCTTCAGCGCACCTCAAGATGTGCACGACACAGGGCTTGATAGGTACGCTTTCATGCGAACGCCGATACGCGAGTACGGGCACCGAGTCATCATTCGAGGACCAATCAGCAGAAGGGTTCCCATCTCGGAGCTCCAACCTACAAACAGCGGCGGGAAGAAAGAGTGGTGGTGGTGGAGACACGGGGGTTTGCGACCTTGGGGAAAGTCGTATTTCAATGCGCACGAAATGCCCATTGTGCGATCGGTGCGCTCATATGAGGTTCCGTCGCCGCCATATTCATTGCCGGTGATTGTGGAGGGGCCGTATATACAACTGGATGTTGTCACAGCAGTGAGATACGAAGCTACCGATCCTGCAGAGAACACGAAATAGAGACCTAGGCAGATAGCCGGAAAGGGATAGAACAGAAACCAGATTGACGAGAGAAGCTCCGTCATATTGATTAATGAAACTTGGATTATCGTTCTAATGAGACACAATTGAGTATGCTGCGGTGTGCCTAGAATTCCATCCCGCTTTTCGACGCGTACATCAACCTACGGCCGCAAATCGACATCGGCCCGAAGTGTGGACATCCGGCTACTCCGGGTGGACCCGATCCCGGCACCGGTCGGAGCTCATGTCTCTGCCAACAGCTTGTGCTGAAGTTTGACAGGATAGGCAACGCCAAGCACTCGGACTTTGAGGATTACCCGTCGTTGAGCCTTTCTGCCATTAAACGTTTGGCAATCCGGCAAGGGGTAGCCGGTGGCCAAAACTCCATGCTTCTTGGGGCATGTGGCCCGGTCGGCTGTTTGTTGGTCCAGGACAATAATCGATGCTCAATGGAATATTGCTCGAGGTAAAACGCACATACCTCTTGGAAACGTTTGTTGGAAAACACACGTGCTTTTTCCGGTGGCTCCGCGCTGATGAGCACACAAAACGCCTTTCGTTGACCAAACACGCAAGGGAACCCTCTTTCAGCGGTGGTTCGACAGACCTGGAGGGTTCGAGAGCAGTAGATGCGGTTTCGGAAGTCTCGATGAGTTGAAGAAACGACTGATTGACTGATGTCAAACCTTTTGAGAGATCTGTACCTCATTCCACAAACTTACAAAGCTAAGCCATCCCTTGCTCCTCCCAAGGACCCGATCGGGCGACTTGATGAGCTGTTTGCGCATTCTGAGGACAACGCTGTCGATCTTCCCTCTCCGACAGCGCACGGGACAGTCCATCAATCTCTTTCAGATACAGGCTTATGTTCATAGGGTGATTGACATGGTTTAAAGGGGTCTTTTCCCTAGGGTTTTCAGGCATTGCTACTCGCCTAGCAACTCACGCTTCGCTCTTGGAAGCTTGGATTATTTCCATCCCACAAGCAGACCCGTGTTCAAAGATTGCTTCTTTTTGTCAAACGCAAAGACTGCGATGTTCTTGCCCTTCGCGGAAGCCACCAAGGCTTCGCTGTGGCTTGGTCCTGTCTGGGCATGTCTTGGAGAGACTTGGATCCCTCTAGCATTGTATTACGACAGTGCCGTAGCGGATCTGCAGTTCCCAGACACTGTATTGCGGATATCTTATAAAGAAAATGTCTGCCTTTAGGTCGGTTTCTACCCCACTTGACCATCAGCCAACAATTCGACAGCTCAGCCCAGGTCCGGCATTGAGTCTATCGCACCACGCTCGTTCAACATGCATACCAGATACCATTCCATGCTGATGCCAGCCTTGATGGCCATCTTGGTTTGTTGCAATTCTACGGGAATCTCGAACATACACTAACGAGACCTTAGACCACAGCAACCGAAGCTCCAATCGCAGGCTACGATGTCTTTGTGCCTGAGTGGGAAGTGAGAGCCCACCCCAGTGGCGACGCACTTCGCCTCAACGGAACGGCGGAGGAAGTCATCCAGCAGATCGAGAAAATCAACCCGGACTTCAAGAGATCATTCAACGTTGATGATCTCCCAGAAGAGGAGGAAGGGATAAATAGTGCACACGAATTGCAGAGCCGCGCTATGACAACTTTCCCGCTGGATAGGGTCATCTGCGACAATTTTGAGCCGGCCAAGTCAGCTGAGGTCATGAGTGCCGTCCGATATCTGAACGACATTGGGGGGAGGCCCAAGAATGGCGGTGGTCCAGCAAACTGTGGTAGGGTTAGCTGCGGTTACAAGGTAAGAGAGCCAAGAACCTCTGCGTTGAAGTCGCTATTAGCTAACCTATCATGATCAACAGGTCGCCGTTTGGTGGTGCAATGATGTAAGTCTCTCCCCCTTCTTCGGGCACGAAGTCCCAATGCTCCCTAGGACCTGAAGGAAACTGACGAATGATTTGTGATAGGGAGCGCAAACGAGAGAACTCAGTGGTTTCAGTTCCATTACGGCTGGTATCTATGCCATCCAAACGATGTGCCAACAGACTCGGCCCAAGTTTGCTGGGCAGGCCTTTCACCCTGACAACTGGAATGTAATAGTTCGTTGGGAAGACTGTTAAGAAAACTCAGGCGTGCTGAATTCGCATGTCACATGAATCAGACAACAATCAAGTCTATGCTTGGTCCTAAATGGCTCGGATGGAGCAAGCTTCACTTCTTTGGACATATATTTCTCACATAAGGCAGGGCGCATTGGAAAATCTATCATTGGCAATGGGCGCGAGAGCTCTTACTATTCATTGCACACTTCTTAATAGCAAAATCTTAATTCAGATAATGTCTAAGCTCAATAGACTCTCCACTTCGCGGCATGTTCACCGCCAATACCTCTCTACAACCTTCGAAAGGCGTTCAACGCCAGTATCGATTTGATCCTTCTGCGCAGCGGGTATTATCATTAGCAAGTGGGACCAAAAATACTCTTGAATGACTTTGAATTATCTGTGTCTTTACTTACCGTCGGTGTCGCAAACGAAAAGCGGAAGTGCGCCGTTCGTGGGTCGGCACCTCGTGCCTTTGTTGTCGTCATGTCCGGCCCTTGCCACGCATGATAATAAGATCCCGGTGTCAGAAGTACGAGCTCAGTAGCCCACGCTTTCCACAACTCGTCCGCAAAATCCTGCTCCGGGTCTTTGCTGGAGCCAGACTTTTCCATTTCCATGAACTCACCAATGCCATCAAAGTAAAACTTGCACCAGACGAACATGCCAGCACCAGGGTCCACGAAGCTGAAGACTGGTCGCAACTCTCCACTTTTCTGAGACCTTACACATGCGACGAGCCCCTGTGCCTGTGGTACTGGTGACTTCGCGGCAGGGAGAACGACAAAGCGTGCGTGGAACGCGTCAAGTAGCCAGTCTCTCCTCTCACGGTACTGAAATTGGAGACTCTGAAGCCAGGTCAAATAGCCGTCAATGCCCCAGCGTCGGAGTAAGCCCAAGACAAGAGCTTGGCTGAGACCCGCCGGGTCTTGTGTCTCAACTTCTGTCGCGCGGAGAAGACGTTCAGTGAAGACAGGGTTGGCCACGAAGTACCCCATGCGAAGTCCTGGGAAAAGAGTCTTCGAGAAAGATTCGAGGCGTATCACACGGCCTTGGACATCCATTGACAGGAATGTCGGGACCAGAGTCTTGAGAAATTCCTTTGTCGGCTTGGGTTGAAATGCGGGTTCCTTGGGGGTAAGGTACCCGGGGAATTGCAAGAAATAGTACGGGTCATCCTCGACGATGATGATGTCTGCGCACTGTGAGTTTTCGAATAACATCTAATGAAGTCTGCTCTTACCAAACTCAACACAAACGTCGTATATTTCTCTGCGCCTTTGGGCTGAGATAGTGATGCCGGTGGGGTTTGATCCCACGGAAACCAAATAAAGTCTGCTTTTAGTCAGATCCCAAAGCCAAGACCTCAGTGCTGTTACTCCAAAATGACGTACACTCTAGGTCTAGGGCCACCTCTCTTCTCCTCATCCCAGTTCTGGAGAGTTGATCGGAGATCTTGTGACAAGATACCATCCGCGTCGGCTGGAATGGGCACGGCCTTGATCCCAAGGGGGATCCAAAGGGCCTGAGCCGAAGGATAGGTAAACTCCTCGACAAGAACAAAGTCGTTTTCTTCACAAAGAAGTCCGACAACCTTTGCCCAAGCGTTCGTATTTCCCGGGTGCAGCAAACATTCGTAATCGCATGGAGGCGCATGGACCGTCTCGGTCAGCTCTTTCGCTAGTTCAACTAGCTGGCGGTTGCCGGCCCCAGAGCCTATCATGAAGTCAGAATCATGTTCTATCTTGTTGATCGGGACTCATTATCGGTTGTATACCATATTGCAAAAATTGAGACAATTCTAGATTGCCAGGTGATGCACCCCGGCCAAGAGTGAGACTCAGTATGTCCGGGTTCTCGGCCCCCACCTTGCGGTCTCCGGCGAGGGACGCTTCCGGAGTCAAACAACTGAACTTGGCCTCTTCAAGCGGAAAAAGAGATGGATGAGGAAGTCCTATGGGATTCTTCAGCATCAGAATGTCAATACCTTCACTGCGACTTTGAAATACCTCCAGCAAAACTAATCATGCCATCATAGCCCATAAACTTGATGATGTCTTTCAACGGCGAGGGATGGCGAGCTTTGCTCTTGGCATTGATGTGGTGGGAAAGGTCCACATTGGAAGGAACTCGGTCGATGCTGCCCATCTTGCCCGCGTAAGAGAGCCGTTGTTGTATGAGAAGTTGGTGCAGAGAGCTTTGCTCGCAGATTATCTTTTCCTCGGCCTAAGAGTTCATACAGCTGAGGTAAACCGGCGCTGCCCTCATGATCTATGGCCTCTTATCTAATCCATCGTCATTTTCTCTTTGCGGAATCTAGTCATTGCAATTTGTCTAATCATGGTCCTCGACGAGCCTAGGCGAGAAGTCTTCGGCCGGAGATCCGACCGAGCGAGATGTCTTATCAGCAGGCCCCGCGGGCGATAGCGCACCTGCTGCCGCTATCGGCCCCGCAGCGGGACGGATGTCGGACCCTCGGAGACTAGATCTGTGACCGATGACGAGCAAAGCGATATCATCACGACATCAGATCGAGCTTCCGGTTGATAACTAAATTTCGGGCGCTGGTGAAGCTTTTGTGAACAGCCTCGAAAACCAATTTTTTTTTCCTGATCAAGATGGGCAACAACATTTCGTACCAGCAAACGCCGGTTGAGCTAAGCTTAGGGGACAAGGGCAAGATCCGCGGCCTTCAGTTCGACGACAAGTCCCGCCGATTCACGGGCGTTCCCTATGCGCTTCCTCCGACCGGCGAGCATCGATGGCGCAAACCTCGACCACTGCCGACTTCATATTCGTATAGCGGCGGAGACGGCGCATACGATGCGACGAAGTTCAAGGCCGTGTGCCCTCAGAAGGCCTTCCACGTCGTAAAGCCTGACGGCCAGGGCGCTGCGCACAGCGAAGACTGTCTGTTTGTCAATATCTGGACTCCGGTGCGCAAGGATGGAGAGGAGGACAAGAAGTGGCCGGTGAAGCTTTGGATTCATGGCGGTTGGTTTCAGATGGGAGACCCGTCTCAGGAGCCTGGCATGGATGCGACCGAGCTCATCACGACGGGCGGGCTCAACGCAATTGTTGTGGCCATCGGGTACCGACTTAATGTCTTCGGCTTCCTTGCTGGCGAGGATCTTCTCCGAGAGAGCGGCGGCGAGGCGGGCGGAAACTTTGGCCTCTGGGATCAGCGAGTCGCAGCTGAATGGGTGCGGGATAACATCTCGTACTTTGGCGGTGACCCCAACAACATCACCCTCGCCGGCCGTAGCGCCGGTGCATACAGTGCCGAGGCGCAGATGCTTTATGACTTCCGCAAGCCAGGGAACAAGTCCTCGCTTTACCGCCGGATTTTCATGGACTCCAACGCGATCCCTGCGCAACCCAAGTCCTTGGCAGATGTCCAAGGGCAGTTCGACGAGCTCTGCGAATACTTCAAGATTGAAAAGAGCCTATCAGGATCTGAAAAGCTCTCAGCTTTGCGCGACATCAGCTGGGAAGATCTCATCAAGGCAATCCCCCATTTGAAGAACCACACATTCCGACCCGTTACGGACGATATCTTTGTGCATTCGGGGATGATCGAATACCTGCAAAGCAAGGACTTCGCCGACGAGTTCAAGAGCAGAGGATACAAGATGTTGATTGGCGAAGTGCGAAACGAAGAAACATTGTACTCTTCATATAACGCCCCGACCGAGCCTACGTTAGACGCCCTCAGGCTGCAGGTATCGAACTACTATGCCCCTGATGTTACTGATCGAGCCATCCAGCAATACAAGTTACCGGAGTCGGACAAGCTCGAAGATTGGCAAAAGACTTTTGGCAAGCCACTCAAGACTTGACGTTGTAGAACGTTTGCTGACATCAATGATTTCAGGAAATGTTGTGTCTGATGGCCAAGTGCGCGCTCCGTCTCGAGCTTTGGCTAAAGCATTAGTCGATAACGGCGTCAATCTACAAGATGTCTGGCGATACCACATCGCATATCGTTTGTCTTTCATCGATGAGAAGGTGGCACCAGCATCGTTTGGTGTCGCACATGCGATGGACAGACCCATTTGGAAGTAAGAGCTGCCCCTAACTGGAGGAACCTCTGAGTTTCGTGAGAGAATCGAACTGACTTTGACTCTACCTAACAGCTTTGCCATCTGCCACGGACCAACGCCTGCTGAAAGACAGCTGATGGAGGATTGGATTGGAATACTGGTTGCCTTCGTCAATGATGACAAGAGCTATGAGTTCGGCACCACCTCAGTTGATCAAATGAAGGTTATGACTCCGGAGGGAAGGATTGAGGTTCAGCCAGACGGAAGGTGGAAGGAGCTGGTGAAGCTAGGAAATATCTTTGCAGGCAACTAGAACATCCATTTTGGAATTATGCAAGCCATTCAAGTTGAACTACCTTCTTCCCATCTTACGAACTGCGTTCAATTGATGCCACTGCCCCAGGGTCCATATCAGAGACATCTGCCTAGCCAGGTCAAGGGGCCTGAACACAATCGCGTGATATGTCACACATAATTCTACCAAAGATGGCAACAAGACGGAAAGCTAAACGAAAAGGCCCCAAGCAGATTACACGAGATAGCTCTGCGATGCGGTCAGTACATAACATGGTGCGTGCATCAGAGAGTGTTAACAAGTAGCACGTAGCATGGATCGTATGGGTCCAGGTCGTCAATTACAATGGTATCTAATCTCATTAAGTTCATCGTGGTGTTGTTACAGTAGTTGTACAATTTAACACATTCCTCTTCCATGTATGACACGTCTTTCCCTTATTTTGTCGTAACGTGGTCTGCAGTGTGCGCCGGTGGCATGCCCGAAACGCCTCCGTTATTCGGGGCACCGTATCCGTACTGGCCAGGTGCAGCAGTGTGCGCATACCCGTAACCTTGCTGTTGTCCGTACCCTTGCCCGTAGTTGTAACCGCCTTGCGGGTTGGTGTTGTTCGGGTTGTAGTTGCTGGAGCCCATGCTGGAGCGGTTGTCCCCGTAGTACTTTTGCATCTCCTTGTTGTGGTTGGCGCGTTGCCTCTTGTGGCGACGGAAGAGGCAGAAGGCGAGGATTATTAACGCAATGCCGACAACAGCTCCGATGACGATCGCGGCGATGATGCCACCGCCGATAACGCGAGCGCCGGTACGGACTCTGCTGCCGGACGAGCTGACTCTGCTGCTTGTCACTCGAGCAACGAGGTCGAGAGCTACTTCGCGAGCCTCGATTGGGAGAGAAGGCATGTTGAGTGGTTGTGAGTTTGAGTCTCCCAAGGTTTGATAATGGATATTCAATCTCGCGGTTTTCAACACCAATGAGTAATTTGTAAGTGATGTTTTGTATTGCTTGGTGCAGTACTTCTTTCGTCTCAAACATATGGCAGGACGGCGTGGGCTTTATCTTTTCAATTACGAAGGCACTTTCTAGCGTTGCCGAACGTCATAGTCAACACGTCAGGCCGTAACATCACCGCCTCAATTAGTACCAGACAAGTGCGCGATGAATGACATCGTTCGTGGCACAGCAGCAATCGAACTCGTCCGTTTCGGGGGATACGAGTGGCTGACTTGCTTCCAAGCCGTTTAGTCTGGCCGGCTGTTGAGCAGGATGAACTGCCCAGCAGGCATTAGACAGGCGGGATCGACCGTTGATGTCATCAGTCTTACTGCCAAGCGGGATCAGCCATCCTAGCTAGCGTCTACCGTAAACCGCCTGTGGCACGCGGGGTAGGCAGCCACATTGACGGTTGGCCAATCCAGAAGCCGTCCAGCATTCTAGAGACAAATCGTGTTGAAATTTCTAGAAAACAGGAAACGGAGAGAAGTGCTTGAGCTCAAGAATGCTGATCGAAGCTGCATTCGGCCACATGCGATGAGTGAAGCCTTCGCTGGTTGCTTCCGATTCACATCATCGCACTTGGCCAGACCGGACCCTGAAAATCGGTGAATTAGGGACATTTGGCGCATAATCGGTGACGATGATTTCGCCCGATAGGATAGGAGGCAAGTCTCCCTTGTGTTGATTGCCCAGCCACATCATGTGCCACACATGTGGAAATCGTGCCCACTTAGTCGATCGACAGATGAGGCTGTGCTCACCGAGCTTCCTGAAGGCAAGTTTGGCGATTCAGTCGAGTCGTAACTCGTCTCTATGTGATCATACGGCGGCGCAACAAACACGCAGACTCCTCCAATTCTTACCTTCACATAATCAACTCATGTATTTCTCATCCGTTGGTTTAAGTTCAGTGGTCTTCATTAATATTAGTGTCCACGATAGTAAAGATTAGTGTCATCTCAATAACGCACTCCAACTGACTAAGCGGGATAGAGCTGCACTTGTGCTTGTAGTGTGTAGGTAAAACATTAAGCTTGAATGCCTGTTACGGCAGCCTGTAGGGCTCACTAGGTTAAAATTGCTGAGGCGTATAGGGCTACACTAATGTGGGTGGGAGGGCTAGTAAATATTTAATTTAGTGAGGGTTTTTACTTTTTTAAGGCTTCTGATTAGCTAATAGTAGTGAGGGTAGTTAGCTTGTGCGTTGAGGGTAGTTAGCCTGTGTGTTAAGGGTAGTTAGCCTATACGCTTTATTTTAAATACCTTACTGAGGTATACCTCTAACTTCTTTTTTTTTTCTTTATACTTACTATAAATTAGTAAGTCTCTCTTATTTATATAGCTTTTTATATAATTCTATACCTTTTATTATTAATTAGATTAAATTTTAATTTAAATAGTAGTATATATTATCCTAATAGGTTTTTAGTATAACTTCCCCCCCCCTTTTATATTTCTACTTTAATTTATATAAGTCTTTATATAATAATACTTTATATCCTCTATATATATTTATATAATAATATAGCTCCTTTTAATAGCTTTCTTTTTAATAAGAATAGTTACTTTATTAATAACTTTAATAAGCTTATTAATATCTATATAGAGGATAGTAATTTTAAGTTTAAAGAGAACTTTATATATAAGTTTATCTTAGCTAAGATTAGAGGTATATAGCTCCTATTTACTTTTATAAAGTATTTTAAGGAGAATAGATTTTCTCTAGCTTTTTTAATAGTATACTATTTTACATATAAGTATATAGTTCTACTTTTATTCTATATTTTTACTAACTTCTTTATAGATATAGTTAAAAGTATAAATAATTATTTTGTTAAGTATATTTTTAATACTAAAGATCTTAAGGTAATTTATTTCTATATAGTTTTATATATTTTTTATTAATTTATATATAAATATCTAACTTTATTACTCTTTATTTTAAGTATAATAAGTCTAGTTAGTATATATATAAGATTCTTAATATAAAATAAGCTTAGAATTATAACTCTTTCTTTATTTAAGTATATAGAACTAAGCGTTCTAATATAGAGGTATATACTAGCTATAAGAAGGAGAATAGCTCCTTCTTAAAGTATATAGTCTTATCTATATATATAGATACTTATAGTAGCTATACTTATAATAGTAATATTTCTAAATACTTTTTTAGTTTATATTAATCTATATATCTTCTATTTTTAAGTACTACTTTACTAATTTTTATATAGTTACTAAGGAGAAGGTTATAACTTTAGTTAAAACTACTAAAACTTCTATTATTATGCTTAAACTTAGCTAAAAGTGTATAGCTTTTATTACTTTTAAGTCTACTTATATAAAAGTGATTAAGGTTATATATATTAAGTATATATTTATCTTAATATTATATAATATTTTATTTAATACTATATAGTTTATTAGTAATATACTTATTTCTATTATAAAGAAGTATAGTAAGATTAACTTTAATAAGTTTTATTTTATTCTAATATTATCTATATAATTACTAATAATATTATTAGATATTAATAAGATCTTAAAGCTATTTACTACTTTTAACTAAAAATAAGTTTATCTATTTATATCTAATTAGTTCTATATATATTTCTATCTCTCTATAAAATAATTTTTAGCTTAGTTATAAGTATATAAAACTATATATATAAGGTTAGTATAGTATTAGCGTTTTAATATTAGTATATAAAGTTAGTAAACTAGATACCTCTATATAAAGCTATAAAGCTCTATATAGAGGTTTTAACCTTATTTAGTTCTATATTTTTAGGTTTTTAAATAATATTATATTGCTCTTAGTTATATATTCTTTTATAATTTATAATACTTTATAATCTTTTAACTATAGCTAGTTAACTCTAATTAGACTTAGAATTATTCTACTAAATAATTATAGAGAAGTTTAAGCTTAAATAGATAAATAATATAATTATAACTTTTCTTTTTAATTTATATTAGTTAAAAGTATCTTTATTAACTTTAAAATAATATTTTTACCTTTAAGATCTCTATTATAAAATCTATATAAAGTTTACTCCTAAATTATTATAGTAAATTCTTAAGCTCTTCTTTAACTACTACTTAGCTGATTTAAAACTCCTTATTTATTTATAAACTAAGGGGTTTATAATTTTATAATATAATCTCTAAGATATCTAAAAAGTATATTAGTTATAGCGTTATTAAAATCTTAAGTAATCCTAAATAGTATTTTATAAAACTATTTAATACTTATAATCTATAGATAAGGTTACTTAACTTATATTAAACTTTAAGTGAGAATTCCTCTATATATTTATATCTTAATAAAGCTATATTATTAGCTAAAATATCTTTTATAAAGTATATTATATAGTCTTCTCTAAATAAGTTTAAGCTTAATTAAAAGAGATATAATATTAGTAGAAAGGCTAAGCTATTTTAAGCTTTAACTTTATCTAATTACTTAATACTTATAATAAATTACTTCTATTTAGGATTAAGATATATACTATAATTAATATATACTTCTATTATATTATATAGTTTTATATAAGGTTTTCTATATATATTATATAGTTTATATTTACTTAATATCTTATAGTTTTATAATAATAAGGTATTATACCTTATATAATATAGTTAGATTATAGAGTTAAAATAGCTTTAACTACTAATAGCTAGTAGTATTTATTATAAAAATATATAAAAGAAGTATAGTTTTATCTAAGTAAAGCTATCTTAATTAGCTTTTATAATTATTAAATCTTTAGTAAAAATATCTATAATATTAAGATTAAAGTTTAATAAAATTAGCTATATTAATCTTAATTTACTTCTTAATATATATATTTTATATCTAAGCTATATATTATTATATTTAATAAATCTAAGAATATTTATTCTAATTATAAATATTAAAGCTTTTCTACTTAAATTCCTTAGTAGATAAGATTATACTTTTATTTATTTTTATACCTCTTATCTATAAAGACTTTACTAACTTTATATATATCTAAAATAATTATTATATTTAGTTATAAATAAGTTAACTTTATATTATTTATAGTTAGTTTTAGATAATATATTACTACTTTAAGCTTAAAAAAAAATAGGACTTTATATAACCTATTAACTAAATTAAGCTTTAAGAGATACTAAACGTTCTATAATAAGAGGAGTTAGATCTAAATTAATTCTTATTATAGTTAATAATAGATATATATAAGAGGATTATTTTATTAACTTTAAGTTTTCTAGATATTATAGATTTCTATAGATTAAAATACTTAAGTATTAAAGTATATAACTTTTTATAATAGTAATTAAATTATTATATTATTTTAAAATAAGAGTTAATATTTAGATTACTATTAAAATAGAATAATAAAGTCTAATAAATAAAAGAATATTTTTATTAGTTTAGGATTAATATTAAGTAAATTAAAATAATATTAGTTAAAAATACTATAGATATTATAAAATAAGTTTTTTACTATCTATTTTATATAGATAGAACTGTTCTATAGTAAAATATCTTTAGTTTCTTTAAAATAAGCTATATTAATATTACTATATTTTACTATAATCTCTTCTTATTAAACCTCTTTAACTTTAGCTACTTTAGTATCTTTAAGTTTCTTAACTTTTAAATATATATACTTCTAAAAAGTAACTCTTTTTACTTATTATTTTATTATATCTTTTACTTTTTATATAGGTTTTTATTTAGTTTAAGTCTAAAGTTAAGATTTAATATTAGAATTAATCTTAAAAGAGGGTTTTTTTATAAGTTACTATTTTAGCTAAAACTTTTTTAAAACTTATAAATTAAGATTAATTAGCTTAACTTAGTTCTCTAATATAAGTATAATTATAAATATACTTTTATTAAGAGAGAGGCTAATAA